CTTTGCTATGATAGCAACATTTGCTTTGACTCTTTTCCCTGTCCTCTGAACGCATTGGAAACAAAATACAGTTAAGCCTCAATTTAACGGACTAAATGGGCAGCACCATACTGGGAGCAGCAGGACCACAGAATGACGGCGAGAAACAAGGGCAGACACAAAATGACGCTTCATCCCATCTAACCGAAAATGCACAAACAACAGCTGCGTGCCAATGACAACTTGATTCATCATACAAGTTTTCAAACAAAATTAAACCATCACCATACTTTCTGTCACTGAGTCATAACATTAAAATACAGCATCTATGTAAATAATTAACCCTTAAAAATGGAACATATTTTGTCCTGTGATGGTATTTCTTCTCTTTTCAGAAAGCGAACTACTTCGGGTCACTGCTGCAAGCTTCCACTGTGTCTCTCGGATTGGGGCCTGATGGAGAGGTCAACGTGCCTTTCTGTGATCTGCTACCCATGGTGCACCCCAACGACATCGTCTTTGATGGTAGAGAGTGTCCATGTCGATTCTTTTTTTTATTTATTTTTTTTGTATCTATGTATGTACTATATGTGTGTCGGACAGGTGCGATGACAGCACTTGAAACTTTATCTTAAGGCAACTTTAGAGACCTCATAAGGTAATACACAAAGAAATGCATCCGCTGTCTTGAAAATAGAAACCATTCCTCTACAATAGTACAAGTCCCTTAAGCTCTCCTAAAAAACAAAACAAAAAAACAAACCAAAAAAAACTGCCTTATTATTAATTGAGACTTATTGTTGGCATATTGAATGTGTTCTGAGGATGGGATATCTCCTCGCTGGATCTGGGAAGAGCAATGGAGCGTGCTCAGGTGCTAGATTGGTCACTACAAGAGCAGCTGCGACCATATATGGTCGTCATGAAACCCAGACCGTCCATCTACATCCCAGAATTCATCGCCGCCAACCAGGAAAGCCGGGCCGACAACATACTCAGCGGAACCATGGCGGAGCAGGTTACGCTTAAACTTCCCCTTCCTGTTTTAGCGGCACCTCATCAACGAGCTGGAATTGACGCGCGATGACGTTTTCAGGTGGAGTGCGTCCGAGCAGACATCCGTGACTTCCGGCAGGTCAGTGGAGTGGATAAAGTGATCGTGGTGTGGACCGCCACCACCGAGCGCTTCTGCGATGTGGTGCCAGGCAGAAACGACACAGCGGAAAACCTGCTGGCTGCCATTCAGGTGAGAAGTTATGTTTGAGCTAGAAATCGCTGCACCGTGGGGATGGAAAGTGAAACCCTCATTTTGACGGGGTAAAAAAAAAAAAAAAAAGATCCCAAAGTGTGAGGGAGTGTTATAAAAGCGGCTTAATAAAAAACAACATTTTTCACATTGTTTAAACCACGATCTAGGGTTTATTTATATATATATAAAATCATGGATTTAACGTATATAATGTAACTTAATATGCTTCACAAATTTTTTCATGTATTTTTTTAATTAATCGTCTGATTAATCGGTTGTTGGAATTTTATTCTGCCAAATATCGACATCGACTTCTGCCTCCAAAAATCCACAACAGTCAGGCGTTAGTAGTAATGACATTGATCAAAAATACCAAGCCCAAATTTTAACTCCTCTTTTTTTCTCTCATAACATGTGATTCTCGTGAAAGTTTTCAGAATGTATTTTCATAATCTACCTAAAGTAAAACTACCCAGCCAGCAAATTGACTGCTTGTGTGTTTGTTTTTGTCCCTGCGTCTCCTTTGTCAGGGGGGCTCAGAGGTGTCTCCCTCCACTTTGTTCGCAGTGGCCAGCATCCTGGAGGGGTGCGCCTACATCAACGGTTCCCCTCAGAATACATTCGTACCGGGGGCCATTGAGCTGGCGCAGCAGAGGGGGGTCTTCATTGGAGGGGACGACTTCAAGTCCGGTCAGACCAAGATCAAGTCGGTGCTGGTGGACTTCCTGGTCAGCTCGGGCATCAAGGTGACACCTGGCAAAAAGAATTTACTCCCCATATAACAAAGATACTTTATTCTCGTCAAATGCCTTTTTTTCTTCTTCTTCTTCTTTTTCAGCCAACCTCCATCGTGAGCTACAACCACCTTGGCAACAACGATGGCAAGAACCTGTCTGCGCCGCAGCAATTCCGCTCCAAGGAAATCACCAAGAGCAATGTGGTGGACGACATGGTGCGCTGCAACTCGGTGCTCTACGACCACGGGGAGAAGCCTGACCACTGTGTGAGTGAATTTTGCTGCATCCAAAACGTATCCACAGCACTTGTTCCACATTTTGTTATGCTACGGTCTTATTCCAAAATGAATTCAATTAATTTTTCCCTCTCTAAATTCCTTCACACAGCACTCCATAATGACAACATGACCAGGTTTAATTTTAAAGAGTTTTTCTGCACTTTTTTTTTCCACATTACCCAAACTGGAATCAATTATTTTCCCTTCAAAATTCTGCACACGATATCCTGCGAATGTCAAAAACAATTTTTGCATTTTTTGCAAATGTATTAAAAAAAAAAATAAGCGCGAGGAAAACTGAAGCACTTCACTTTTTATGTTACACCCTTTTTCCGAAATGTATTACAGCCTCGAGACTTTTTGAATACGAGCTTGGCACATGTATCTTCCCGTCTATTCCAGGTGGTGATTAAGTACATTCCGTATGTGGGAGACAGTAAGCGAGCCATGGATGAATACACGTCTGAGATCATGATGGGAGGCCTCAACACCATCGTTCTGCACAACACCTGCGAGGTCAGTCTCGTCACGCCAAAAGGTTCAATATCGATTATTCCTGTCCCTTTTCGGACATGTAGTGTTGCCTTGAGTTGTATGCCTTTTTTTTTTTTTTTTTCCTAATTTATGTGCCCCACATCTTTTTCCGCCTGGCAACTCTTGTGGTATTGCTTTATTTTTGTAAAATTCCAGTTTTCCTATTTGTGTATTTTACAACTTTATCAAAATGAATCGTCTAAAACTCTGACTTTATTTTTGTAAAATTTACATTTTTCACATATTGCTGTTATTGTAAAATTCCGATTTTGTTTTTGTAAATTGATTACTTTTGCCACATGATATTACAAATTATGTAATATTTTGTCTTTTTTTTCACGTAATATCCCCACTTTGTTCTAAAATTCTGCCATTCCAGTCAAATTACAACTTTCTTTTCATGACTTATTTGACTTTCCTCTCCAACGTTGCTGCACCGTGCCACATTTCGGGGAGCAGGACTCTCTTCTAGCCAGCCCCATCATCATGGACTTGGCCATTCTGACGGAGCTGTGCCAACGTGTGAGCTTCCGTCCCGATGGCGAGGACCACTTCCAGTCCTTCCACAGTGTCCTGGCGCTGCTCTCTTTCCTATGCAAGGCCCCCCTGGTCCCGCCGGGGACCCCCGTCATCAACGCCTTCTTCCGCCAGAGGGCCTCCATAGAAAACATCTTGAGGTACAAACACCGATCAAAAATCATGAAAAATATATACGATGGAGAGTGTCTAATGACTTCTTTAAAAGCTAATCGCAGTCAAAAAATGAGCAGAGTCCAGTCAATGTGATGAGATCGGACGTGTTGGTTAAAGTCTTTGTAAAATGAAGAACTGAATGATGAAAACAATCATCAGGCAGAAACAGTAAAACGAGGCTTCAAAACTATGAAGTCGATCTCTTAACTTACCTAAACCCTTGCTTGAACCAGTACCTCCAATCTCATCACATGAATTAGACTTGCTCATTTGTCTGCTGGGGGTCCACATCAATTTTCCTTGCATCAGTATTTAAGAAACGTCCTTTTTCCAGGGCGTGTCTGGGCTTGCCCCCTCAGAGTCACATGCTGCTGGAGGAAAAGCTACACAGGAACTTCCTGTCCTTGCAGCACACCCGTGGCGACATGGCCACCTCGAAGAAGGCCGTCGCCAACGTCAATCACACAGAGGTCACCAACGGCGTCCACGCGTACGACTACGACGACGCCGAGCACTCCAAATAGATGGAAAATGTTACACAAAAACCCAGGATCTAACACTGTTCTTTTACAAACATGTTACAGTAATCTGCACACCTTTATATGGAAGTTCATGCTCTTTTTGCTGTTGATTCCGTTTCTACACCTTTTAAGACTGTCTAACGCGCTCATGCGTTATTCATTAAAACTGTTACAGAAGCACGAATCTGACTCGGTGTCAATTTACTTACCTCCAAGAGTGGCAAGGTAAGGCAACATTATTTACACTATATCAGCATTTCATACACGAGGTCACTCAATGTGCTTTCCATCTAAAAGCATTTAAAAACAAAAGAACTCAAGATTAAAAAAGGAATAAAGGATGGCTTACTAGATTCATTAGGTACATACAGTTGAAACCAGAAGTTTGCATAATACTGTATACAAAAACGCATTCTTTTTTTTTTTCTTCTCACTGTCTGGCATGAAATCAGTTCAATGTCAGTTAAATAATGAATAACGAAAAAACAGCAAATATGTAATTAAACTGTATAAATGTAAAAATATTTACGAAGGCATTTTTTGATAGTTGAAAAATACAAATGAAAGAAAATGTATGAACCAATGTATTGAATAGACAAACTGAAATTTGACGTGGTGGCAGCTTATTATGTATTGGATTTGTTTTTATGGACTATAAATTTGATGTTATAAAAAATACAAAAACAAAATTCCTTTTTTTCCCCTTTCTATAAATATAATAAAATGAACATTTTCTTAGTGTCATGTAATGTGTTTTTCTTTTTGTTTAGGATCGAATAAGAAATGATCAAAACCAAATATTAAAAACAATAGCTTCGTAAAGGTTACATTTTGCCTCTTAAATATTAAAAAATGAATTTAAATAACATCTAAAATAATTTAATTGAAATTTGGGTCCTTGTGTTTTTCTCAAAATAAGAGTATTTAAATGTATTAATTTTATGATGCTATAATTGTTTTTTTGTCCGTATTGCACAATTTTTCATTTAAAAAAAGAACAAAAATGTACTCTACCTTTAAGAGACTCCTCCCGGGTCGATGTTCAACCCAGTTGCTGAGACACGTGACGGTACGTCAACAAACATGGCGGACAGAGAAAAACGCCGGTCAGCCGGATCCGGGTCATGTCTTGCTGCGACGGTCGCCGAGCCGGGCCCGGCCACTAAGGGTTCCGACCGGGAGTTCCTGTCGCAGGCTGGCGTCGGAGAGCTGCTTCGCGGTGCCTTGTTGAAGATGGTGGAGGCCCGGCCGGACGACCCCGTAGGCTTCTTAGCTGACCACTTCGGCAGCCTGGCCGCCGCCGTGGTGGAGAGCGGCAGCGAAGACCTCAAGGAGCCGCGTCTGAGCGACGGCTCGTCGGGCGATGAAGGAGCAAGAGGCGCCCGTGCTCAGCAGCGACTCAATCGGGCGCTGTGGCATTTGCGACTGGCCCACCACTCGCAGAGGTACCAGTAATGCCTCACTGATTATCTGTTCGGCAACTCGCTCAAATTAATGACAGCATATACTGTATTGACACTTCTGTAGAAAATGGGGAAGACTATACTTATTCGGATACAAGTGATACATTGAGGAAAATATATATTTTTTAAATCTAAATAAAAAATAAATGCAGTGATTGATAATAAATATTTTGAAGTACAGTAAATTTGAATGATAAATGTATTCAAATGAAAACAAAAACAAAACACTCGTCAATTAAAAAAATGGAAAACAAAACTAAGTCAATATCGGAAATGACTTGGAAATCACAGTGGCCCTCAAGTTCAAAACACAAAAACAAATAACACAACAGAAAATTTTTAAAATAAATACATAAAAAAATAATCACATCAGCAAATAAAACAAACAGAAATATTGACAAAAGCAGATTAAAAATCACACAAACAATAAATAAAACACAACAAAAAAAAAAATCCACAAAAAGAATCAACAGCAAATCAAACTCCAGACAAAAACTTGACACAACAGTTGTTTTTATATGTCTGATTTTTACGTTATGTCGGGCACTTTGTATGCAGCATTTTCGTTTTGCACTTCAGAGCCACCTCTAGTAAATACTCTCACTATTGAATAAAAACAAACAATGCAGTGAAACATAAAGACAACAAATGCCAAATTTAAAAATATTAGAGCGGTGTATCTCCAATAAAAGACCATTTGATTCGTATCTCGATACATGGGGTGCAATATGATTCAAGGATGGGTCATTTTAAGGTGTAATGACTCGATGTTGTTCGATTCAGTGAGATTCCGATTTCATTCGATATGTTTCGACTCAGTTCGGGAGAGTAGGCGTTTCTTGCCATTTTACAATATGAGAGAATTTCTCAGTACTGGAAATGTAGCATTTCCTTCAAAGAGATTATACATAGAGTATATATTAGGGTTGTGCATCTCTCCAATACGACGATTTGATACACATTTTCTATATTTTAAAGTGGAATGATTCAATTCGATGCACGCACCTCTTTTCATTCAATACCAATTTTCCAAATCAAACTCTTTTGTTACACCAATAAAAACTAACTTGCAAAAATTTGATTGCACTTGGTTTTTGTGTGTGTATTTTTTAAATTACAGTTAATATTTGGTCTGCAGTCAATGCCCACTTGTATTGTAACTGGTCTATTAATATAACATAATAACTATGTTTGTTTGGTTTTTTTATGTCTCGAAATTCAGATCTGCATTTGGCAACAACGTTCGTGTGGCTTATGACCTCCTGAGCCTCACGGGACCTTTCGGGCATGCGGGTGATAGCAGTCCCGCGGGGGCTCCAGGTGGCGGGGTGAGCGGTGCCTTATACACTCAAACCCTGCGATGCCTGTGCGGCGAGGGCGGCGTCCCGGCCTCCACTTCTGCCCCACTACTGTGCCGCCTCCATTGCCATGACCATGAGGCCGTCCCTTATGGCGTCTTCCGCCACGGTGTGCTGACGTGCGCCGTTTTCTCAGACTACATCCGCCAGGCGCAGCGGCTCTACGCCCAGGTGTGCCAGCCGGACGAGGGGCCGGCTTCGCGGGCTGCATGCCTGGCTGTGCTGGGCGCCCTGAGAGAGGCATTAGAGACATCGCGCGATGCTGACTCACCCAGCGTCAAGGCGCTGCGCCGCCTGGAGGCCAGCGCCAAGATGTCGCCGCACCAGCTGGCGCGGGTCATGACTGAAGCGCAGGCACGAGGCCCGGCTGGCCACATGGATGCCAAGGAATTTGAGAACGCCGCAGCGGAACTCTTTATCGCTCGCGTGAAAGTCGTCTCGTAGCATTCTTTTTACCGTGACATCACACATACTTCTGGGCGGAAAGAGACAAAGCCATCTCCAATAGTACCGGTAGTAAACAAACACATTTGTCATTTGACCAAGGTAGAGCCACTGGGGAAAGAATAAATGATTATTTCATATTTGTAGATACCTGTGAGAAAATGCCTTCCACGAACCAAATCATAGAAGTTTGGTTCCGAGTCAGTCTCTTTACAATTAGCTACTATGTCTTGCGATGGTCTCTGTTAAACTACTTGCACCCAATTCAGCCCCCTCGCCCACAGCTTCAAATTGGATTAATTTTGATTGGTCGGGGGAAGGAAAGAAGGAAATTAAAATAATCATAATAATAATAATTTTGTGGGTTTATCTGGCGGTGCAACCAAAGCACAAGTAATTTCACACAAATTATTTGAAACTGACATTAGGATTTATTTACTTACTGGTTTGGTCCGTAACATGTCAGGAAATGGGCAAAAATGTTGATCATTGTTCTCCAACACAAAGATAATCAGTCCACTTTCATAGAGGACTATCCAAATGATTAAGTAGTTATCAAAATAATTATCAATGAATTTGGTAATGATTAGTTGTCAATTAATCGATTCACCTCATATACTTATATCGGTATATATTGAATGTATGATCTCGCACCAAATCTTATTAGGTTGTGCAATTTATTAATTTGTTAATTTAAATACTTTTAAAAAAGGAAATTAATAAAATATGGCTGTTATTTAGAAATGTAAAAAAAAAACATTTGAAAATTGACATCCATGAAACACTGGGAGAAGTGTTACACCATTGTCCTGTAGGTGGTGCTAATTAATCCTATTGATGAAGCGGAAAAAGACCAACCCGGAAAGGGACGTCCAATCCACATCACATAACTCCGCATTGTTCGACCGCTGTTAACATTACGTTTTCAAAGCAGATGTGTTGTGCTCCCACGTTACTCGATTGATTTAGTAAGTAGAAAATTGAACATAAGGAATCGATCGAATCGTAACTCGAAGTTAGAGTTTGTGAAAACGAAGAAGAAACCGCGAAGAAGTCCTCCCGCATCTCATAACAAGCCGAAGAAGAATAACCGGAAGTGTGCTTCATCTCCCCGTATTCTATGACAACTTCGTTCTCGTTCTCGGAGGCTATTGTTCGGTCGCTGGTAATCTTACCTCGTTTAAACCAAATGTGTTGCGCCGCCACGCGTCGAAATGGAAGAAGACGATGAGCGGCTGCGGCCCTTCGTGTTTCTCATGACCTACATGCTGCTGAAACGCCGCAGGGACGTAAACAATGCGGACGCACAGCGGCGTAATGAGATCCAAAGACGACTGAGACAGCGACAGTACTTCTTCCAGAGGCAGAGGAGAATGATGATGGTCAGACTGCACGATCCATAATGAGCCACATTTTTTTTTGGGGCTGGGGGGGTGGGGTTGAAAAAAAAAAGAAGTAAAATTTGTTTTTAATCCAAGTCAATAGTAGTCGAACCACGGCTCGCTGTTTGTATAGAATTTATTCTTGGACTGCATCAGAATTGGATTTTTATTTTTTTATTTAATAAGGGAGTGAGTGACATCGGCAGCCTGTTGTTCAGAAACCTGGGAAGTTTTAACACCGGTCCCGTCTGTCCTGTTCAATAAACTGTCGCTCTCCTAAAATATCAAAGTACCACTTTATTTGTGTTGTCTCTTTGTGACCCAACCCAGATGATGATAGCAGGAGGCATTCGCTCCAACGCTCGTATACGCACACGCCCTTGGACCACCGTCCCCAGCACAGACTGGTGGGAGCGAGTGGTGATGATGGAATTCCAGCCCTCCGACTGGCTGGACAAATTCCGCATGAGTCGGGAGACCTTCTTCTACATTTGCGACAAGCTGCGCTCCCGCCTGACGCGTCAGGACACCAGCTTCCGCCTGGCGCTGCCCGTGGAGAAGCGCGTGGCGGTGGCGCTGTGGCGCCTGGCGTCCAATGTGGAATACCGCACCATCAGTGCTCTGTTTGGTGTGGGCAAATCCACCGTGTGTAAGTGCGTGCGGGACATGTGTCACAGCATCGTGGCGCTGCTGCGCACTGACTACCTGCGGCCCCCCTCCGAGCCAGAGCTGGAGGAGTCGGCACGCTTGTTCCTCTCCCAGTGGGGCTTCCCACATTGTGTTGCTGCTGTGGCCACGTTACACACAGCCATCATCACGCCGTCCAGCAATGCGTCCGACTACATCAACCCCGCGGGCTGGCTCTCAGTGCTCTCTCAGGTGGGTGCTGTTCATCACTCTGTTTTTTGTCGTTTTAGGTTAGTTTTTATAGGTTTTTTTTGTATCTGTACTTGTCTAGGGCAAGATAGAAAGGTAAAATAAGTATTGAGTCGTAAACTATGTACATTTACCTAATGACTGTTCGACCTTGCTTCTTCCATACGGCTGTACTGTAATTCCGAAATCAATACATTTAACATCCACCTCAAAAGCTTGTGTATGAAATTTATTAACATAGATTTTTTTTTTGTTATAATGACGTATATTTTGTTGCTATAATTACTTTTAGTTCATTTTACAAATGAAAAACATAGTTTCAGTTATACTTTTTTAAAGCACTCGTTTTTATTTTTGGTGAACAAATATTTTTAAAATTTTGGTTTTCATCAACTTGGTACTTGGGAAAAAAACATGCAATCACGGGGAGAAAAAAAAAAAATCTGCTTCTTGTGTTTGATGTGACAGGTGACAGTCAACGGTCATGGGCAGATCTGGGACATGTGTGCCTGTTTCCCCGGTGGGATAGAGCCAGCAGAGATTTTGCAGAAATCGTCACTGTGGACCACGGCAGCAGAGGGCGGACTGTCGCCGGTGCCGCCGTATTGCTTCATGGGAAGACAACTCAAGTAAATATTGTCATGGGGCCCTTTAACACAGAGAGACCACTAAGTTATCAAAGGATCTGGCATTCACCCGCATCTGCCTTTTACACAGAAACCAGTGAAGCAGAATTAAAAAATAAAATAAAATACCTGCCATAGATTCTGCCGCACGGTTGCTTCACAATGTTGTGTCTGTCAATTTTGAATCATGTTTTGGTCCCCCGTGTGTTGCAGCTATGTGATATTGGGTGAGCCGTGCTACCCACTCCAAAGCTGGCTACTGAAGCCCTACCCGGAGAAACGGGCTACGCGAGCCCACCCGGCGGCGCCAAGCGAGCGCCAAAACCTGTTCAACCGACGGCTGCGACGTGCCCGTTGTGTGGCCCAGGAGGCGCTGCTGCGGCTCAAGGCACGTTGGCAGTGTCTGAGCAAGCGCAACGATTGTGGACTGGACGTGGTACCCGCAATGATACGGGCATGCTGCATTCTGCACAACGTGTGCGAATCGCATGGCGATGCCTTCAATGGCGAGTGGCTGGCTGAGGTGGCAGAGGCCGAGAGCCCGCAGCCCACCTATGCTGAGGTCGACGGTGACCCAGACCAGAGTCAGGGCGAGGACGTGCGGCAGCTCTTCTGTGACTATTTTCAACAGAACGACTGACTGAAATGGACTCTTACATGTGGAAGCTCTACTTAAAAAGAGCTACATGGGTTCCCCCCCCCCCCCGACATTTCCTATTTTTCCTCCATAGGGAACATCTCATGAATATTTATCAGTGTTTTCTGAAGAATTTTTAGAATTTGTAAAAAAAAAAAAAAAAAATTGGCGGGGGAAAAATGAAACAACGGACCACTCAAAGTGCACTCTACAGGCCACTCCCAGTGGCCCATCCCTGCTGTTATGTTGGCAAAGGGCGCGTTGGAAAAATTAGCATCAAGAGTGTTCATAATTGTGGCACACAGGATTTGATGTGAAAGATTTCTTAATGTTTTCAATAATGTAATTGTTTTATTTATTCCCACTGAATAAATGCACATTGATTAAATGTTGACATTACTTCTGTTTAAAAAATGTTTGTCTTGTATTATTTAGAAAAAAATGAATTTAACAGAAGCTAAAGAAAGCTGTCGTGGGCCAGTCAACCAATAAATAGCTATTTCTTCTGACATGATCACATGGTCACTTGAGTTATGAGGCAAATCGGGTGCCTGTATAGGGCATAGATGGCAGAGGACGACTCATTTTGTTGTGAAACAAGACAATGCCAATATGGAGGGACTTTTAATACAGGTGAATACTGTGACATCCCTAATTATTCGGGTTTTTTCCATCACCATCTTGCGGACTAGATATAATTGGCAGTGGGCTAGTTTGGCCCATGGGCCAAACGTTGCCAACCCCTGCTTTAGAGAGGATTCTGCATAGTTGCAGAGTGAAACAAATGCTTTCACATTTTGTCTCAGGACAACTATAATTGACACAAGAAATGCACGTTCCAGTCGTTTAGCACTGCTTGTGCGCTTTGGTTCGGGTTCCGCCCACCTCGCCCTTCCAATTGGTCTCCATGACACCCACCTCCTGTCACTCAAACTTCTCCTCCCTGTTATGCATCAGGTTGGCGGACACACTCGTTGCCCACCTTGTTCCAACATCGGAGACCCCCTCATTTCGGGCTCCATTTTAAACGAAAAACAGAGGGGGCGGGCAAAAACAACCCGCATGCCGCATTCTAGCGTCAAAATGGACCGCATTGGGGTGCTCGGCGACGCTATCGCTACAGCATAACGGCGAAAACCCTTCAAGCATCGAGGTACCCAATCACTGCAGGCAGACGCTTGTCGGTCTTTTTTCGCCGAGAAAAGGGGGGCGTCGTTGGCGAGGGGGGGTGCAACATTCGAGTAGCGGCGGTGCCGTTCGTTCGTTCGTTCGGCGTTTTACCCAGTGGTTAGCCTGCTAGCATCCGCTCCAGATTTGTCGGCTGTTGGATGAAGGCGATACCGCCGCTTGTCTTCCCGTTCCTGGAGTTAGAGTTGACATTATTCACAAGGGGCGGGTTGCGCATCTCGCCGAGGAGCCTCCAGCACTCCTGCTCGTCCTCTGCCGACTCTCTACCGGAGAAGACCGGGGACAACTTGGTAGCGAGGCCCAGAGTTGCTCTTCCCCTCCCCCCCTCCTCCTCCTTCCCTGGTCCGGTCCGGTCCCGACAAGACCACCACCAAGCGACCCTCCCCCTCGCCCTACGTCCACGCGAGGACCGCAGCTGATTTTTTTTTTCCTCGCTGGGGGGTGGCGGTGGTGTTGGTGGTGGGAAGAAAACACCGAACGCTGAGTGTTTTTTTTTTTTCGGGTCCGAGCGGGACTGGCCAAACACAGCGGAGGGGATGACTCTGGAGTCCATGATGGCTTGTTGCCTGAGCGAAGAGGCGAAGGAGTCCAAGCGAATCAATGCCGAAATTGACAAGCAACTTCGCCGAGACAAGCGAGATTCCAGGCGGGAGCTGAAATTACTTCTTCTCGGTGAGTGCCTCGTGTTGAATCGCTGTCATGTGTCGTCTTTTTCTTTCTTTTTTTTTTTAAAGATTTTTTTTTAATAGTAAACTTACCTCATTGGGGCCTTCTTCTTCCCAATGCTAGCAAACGTGCTAGCTAGGAGCCAGGGGAGAGTAGTGTTATTTCTCCCCCAAAAGATGCATGTTTGAGGTTTGAAGTGGATATTAGTCGCTTAAAAAACGCCCTAAAAATAGGCACTGTGCAGGAGGATAATGTGGATACATGTCGGTGTTATTAGTGCGAATGCATTGTTTTGACTGGGCAGCCCCATTTCCATGTCGAAGTTTCTCAATAAAAGCATCTGGCACCAACAGGCAAACCGCATGCTCGTTGATGTTATGGACTACGAGCCCTCGCAGATGACCATTTGCCTCTGTGGTTTATCATCAGATGCGACACTTAACCTACTGCTCTCCAGGTTGCCCCTTCTTGTATAATCTCATTTATTTTTAAACATGCGGCTGCACGGTGGACAAACCTTTAGAACAGGGGTCCCCAACCTTTTTTGCCCCACGGACCGGTTAAAGTCAGACAATATTTTCAGGGACCGGCATTTAAGGTGTGGCGAATTAATACAACAAAATAATATGGTATGAGCTGCATGAAAACTGTGGTGTTTTCGAAATATAATAATAAACACAAGGAGCGTCTAATCTGGTCGCAACACTCTTATCGCTCTGGTAATGTTTAATGCCTTCAAAATACGATATAACGCAAATTCAAAGTGCATGAAAATGACGACTCACCACAGCCCCGAGCTTGATTTTCTGCAATCAGACAGTCCCATCTCGGGGTAATAGCATACAATGACACCTCAAGTGTGTGGTTTATGTCCAGTCTACTTTGTAATTTTGTTTTAGTCGCCGTTGCTGCAGAAACTCCCCACTTCACACAGGTAGGATGTCGGAAATAGCAACAGTGCTATTGTGGCGATCTCAGAGTATTCAGCCATAACTTTGATCCAGTTGTTTCGAACGTACTTTTAAGGCCGCTGTCATTTGTGATCTCCAAGCAGCATTTTTACTCATTTTGCGGGCTTTAGTGTTTTGTTTTTAAGCGTCATTGGTCACGTGACCGAGAAGTGTGGCTTGACGTGAGTCAAGCGTGACACAGACGGATGTAAAAGAGAATCCGGTAATTTTTCAAAATAAAACATCTTTCGTGTTCCGAAATAAATAAAACAGAAATAAGGCAAGTTCTTTCTGTGCGGCCCGGTACCAAATGCCCTGCGGACCGGTACCGGTCCGCGGACCGGCGGTTGGGGACCCCTGCTTTAGAAAGTCTGTTTCAAGTTGGGGGTTCGAATCTCTGCTCTGGCCTCCCTGTGTGTCTTCTGTACAAATACTCCCATCTTAACCCCCTATTGCACCAACATACATGGTTAGGTTAATTAATCATTTTAAATTGACAGGTGTCAATGGTTGTGTCCTGTGATTGACTGGCATCACCATAATGAGGTTAAGCACAATAGTAGCTGGATTAAGGTTTTCTAGGCGACACATGCTCTTCAGGGTTGAAGTCTGGAGATTGATTTAGAAACAGAGTTGGGCATTCTGGTTCACCCAGATCGAAGAAAACGTCAAAAAGCAATGAAAAATGCGTACACGCGCAGAGAAGTGTGTGTGCCCAACGACGATTAAAAGTGTGTAATAATTTAGTCGAAATAAATGAACAGTCACGTCAGTGCACTCCAACAATGAGAGCTTCAGGCTACAGGCCATTGAAGACCTTCAGTTAAAGATGTCGAATGACGGCAATGAGGCAGCTGACAATTCAAACGACAACTAAAACGATGGGTCAATTCAAATGCAAATAACCAGCTAACATTAGCATATAGCTAGTGTTTTGTGGAAACCTTGCATCTCCAAAACGATCTGGCGCAGAAATGCTCAAATTCAGACCTCGCGTCTCGCTATTTTCTGTCTCTATGTGAAAAAAAGTAACAAGTGTAAATAAAGTCTATTTGCGTCACAATGTTAGTGCACCACCACTTAAATCGGGTTATTCAAATGTGGGAGTAACTCTGTCCGCACCATGTCACGCACATGTAAACGGGTTATTACGAATTTTGGGGGAAATCGGAATTTTGTCGTTAACTCGAATATTGATTGCTTGTTAATGTAGTCGGTGACAGCGATTCGGAGAGGCGGCTAAATGAATTCAAGGCGACAGAGTGAAAAATGAGCTCTCAGTTCAGTATGAATGAGCACTCGCTCTCATTAGTGAATGGACCCGGCGAGCCGTACGTGCCGCGTACGAATATTTTTACCCCACGCTTCGCTAATTGATCTATTTGTACGGTACATATGAAATTGTAAATTTGGTTATTGTTGTAAAACACAATCTCCAAGCTTGTTAGGGAAAAAAAAAATGCTTGTCGATGCTAGGCGCTAACTTGCTCTGCAGCAAAGGACGACTTTACGCTTGCTTGCTGGCACGGCTAAACATTATCTTCTCGCGCTGCACATCCTCCCCTTCGAAGTAACTAATCTCACCTCGGTGGCGGCAAATACGATACATATATAATAAGCATCATTATCAAGAAAGGCGCAGGAGTAGGAGTAGCAAAGCTTGCAACACACCGAGGAAGAAGAGAGATCGCTAAGCAAATGTGAAAGAGTGCGCCGGTACACTTTTGGCAGAAGTCTGGCCAGAACCGCGTTCAATGCCACTGAGTGAACGAGTGGCTCTCATGCACTTGACCTGAAAGTACAGTGGCTCGTGATTGGCAGAGGAGGAGTAACCAACATAAAAACCTGAGATTAATGAATGTTATCACATTAAATATTGAAAATATCCACACTTCCATCCATTATCTGAACTGCTTATCCTCACGAGGGTCGCGGGCATGCCGCAGCCTATATATTGAAAATATTAACAATGCAATTTGATTGTTTGCACAATAAAGTGCAGAGTTTTGATTTTGAATTATAAATCAATTAATGTTTTGTTTTTTTTTTTCATTCTTATTTCACTTTTTCAATTCATCTTTGCAAAAGAACCGTAGAACGTAATTTTTCTTGTAATGTGTCATTCCGGAACTATAGCTGTCACTACATGATTTTATGTTTAGCAATGTAGTGACAAGACAAAGTAGTGACTAAATCCAAACTGAAATAGACAAAAAAAAGCCGTCAGTATTTTGTCACTTGAAAATTTTGAAAGAAAAAAAAAAAAGGACATTTTTGTTTCTTTCTTGTGACCCGAGTTTGTTTTGCCTGAGACGCGAAAGTTCCTGACAAATTATCCAGAATGTTGCTGACAAATGATGATGATGATGATGGTGGTTGGCATCCATAAACAAGTAGCAGAAACAATTGACCCAAAAGACGCTGCCAAAACTTAAAAAGAAGCTCATCAGTGCCTAAAAGTCAATTTTCTTTCGATTGCCCAAGTCCATTTGCAGACTTAAATCCTCCAGAGCATGTGTTTCATCTTTTTAAGAGAAAACTGATGGGAGTAACTGGTAACATTTACCTCGAACTTTTAGCTCTTTTCAAACACATCAAAGACAAACAAATCATGCCGCTAAATTTTGCATGCTTATTCTTTGAGGTCTTGCAGGCGTATCCAAAGAGGGGTGAATGAGCGAGCTTAGCCACTTTTTTTTAATAAATGAAAATCACTGTGCCCGGGTTGCTGCTGCAGTGTGCCCACAATCTGGCTGCCGGCGGTCACCATATCAGGTCATACAGTCAGCTTCCTGCTTGCACACACCACTGGTTTGCCTGTACTTGGTCAAAACAACCAAAAAAAAAGTTTTAAGCTCAAAGCTTTGGCCTAGCTACACAAACAGCTCCAACACACACACAAGTCCGGAGTCTTTCTTTTTTTTTTTTTTAATGTCTCACGTTAGTCAACGGAGGTCTGATTAGTACTGTCTTGATTGCATTGGTGATTGGTATCGATTAGATCGTCTTCAATCCTTGTTCAAGGAAGAGCCCGCAGAGAGAGGTTGACGGGTTAGCTTCAAGATGCTTCGCGATGACCTCCCCGTCTGATGCCAAGCCATCTTTTTCTTGAACATATATGGCAATAAGGATCTTCCAGCTCTGCTCCTCGATGTGCGTGCGTGTGTGAGCCAAGGTGTAGTTAACACATTTAGAGAGCATTACCACGGAGAAGAGAGAACACGACCAAATTTGAATGATTCAAGCAAATCGCCATGCATCAAAATGGTACCAAAAAAAAAAAATGCCATTGTCCCCGCTCTGAAACGGTGTGGGCGTGTCCGCTGAATTTGCTGAAACCAAACCCCACTCAAATGTCCCTCAAATACCCCGAGCTGAAAAATGGATGCTACTTCGAGCACTCTTTGCAGTCGTCGGCCAAAATTAGAATTAATTTTAGGAGAGATTAAATGACAAGCATTTTTGATATCCCAAAAAGAATGATCAATTAATTAATCAATAAAAATATCAAAGGCGGCCGGCGTTCGACTGGTCGGCCCGCCCGCCTCACAGTGCAGAAGTGCAGGCTTCAATTCTGGCTTCGGCCTCCTTGTGTGGAGTTTGCATGTTCTCCTCGTGCCTGTGTGGGTTTTTTCCGGGTATTCCGGCTGGATGGATAATACAGGATATCCGAATCCCAAAATAGCTGCAGCCCTAATAGCAAAGTTTGGACATCTTAGGTTAAGTGCCCCTTAATGTCAAACAGGTTAGTAAGACGTTTTGACAAAGTCTGTTGTTCGTTATTTAAGATCGTCACCGGCATGCACACATAGTCATAAACGGGGGCACGGCTGTATCTCTGGAGGTTTGGGGTGATTGAGGCTACATGGCGAGTGTCCCACATACTGTTGATGTCCCGTGGCAGGACGTGGGGGACGTAAGCTTGCCAGTTTCTTCGGGGCGACGTATTTATGCTTAGCTAACTACCACCAGCTGCCACGCTTCGCCTTTCAGTGCCGTTTCCACCGGGGTATCTTGATCTTTTTTGTTACTGCTTCCATTTAGAATGTCGGGACCGCGGTGTTGGGATCGCAACCCAGCAGTTGGGAAATCAACAAACGTTGTCCGTCAGCCTCCCACAAACACCGGTAAATAAAGCAAATGTGGATACGATAAAATCGGTATGGCCAAGATAGGGCCGCGCAACCTTCGACGTAATCCCGATTTTAACCGCCACAGTTAAATCAACCTGACTGAACATCAATTTTTTTTTTCTATTTTAAAATGTCGCCTCTGATGCATAAAGTATCTCCGTGCCGGGAGGTGGACCACACACGTTTTATATGTTAACAGAGGTCTCGTTATTGCCCGACAATTATTTTTCGCCGGGTTGCAAAGGCAACAAATGGAATTGTCCTTGTGCCCCCGGTTCATTTTCCTCGGAATCTGTATGAGGGCTGTGCGATACGTCTGATCCCCTCAATAATGATACGATAACCGTATTACAATGGGTTCAGTGAAAACAAAGCTTTTTTTTTTAGGGGGGTGGATTTCAAAAGGATGTGGAAAGTGTAGATCTTAGCTTAGCGTAGCTAGAATCAGGGCAAGATCCCAGAACAGATCAAAACCAACATTTGTCTGTGTACGTATGTTTAAAAAAAGAAATATAAAATATATATATTTTTTCTCTTTCACACTAAAAACGTAAATATTCAAAATTGTTGAGGCATATATCGGCGTGGATCTGGGAGACAGAGGCTACTAGTGTGTCGGCTGGTGAAAGAGGGACAGTGCAGCGAGATCTTGTGATGTGGGGGGGGGGGGTCACGAGAAGAAAATCAGACTGGAAGCAGCCTTCATTCACCGCCAGGACAAGAGCCCTCGCCCACTTTTTTTTACCGGTCTTAGCGGCTCCATAAATCGTGAAGGCTGTTTACTGTGCAGTGTTTGTGTCTGAAAATATATTTTTAAAAAAATGCTCACGTTTAAAAGAGATGAAGTGCAAGTTTCCAAAAAAAAAAAAAAAAAAATACCGGTATCCTTTTCAAAGTACATTGAAACATTACAGTCAACCCTCGTCGAGTCGTGAATTGTCATTTAGTGAACTGACCTCCTTGCAAATGTTTCTGTAGAGCCCAAAGTTGGCCCCTTCGCAATATGAGCCGGAGAGCACCGAATGAGCTTGAGGCTCTTCGCCGTCATATTTACTGTCTGCTGTGAAAGAGAGGAGAGTAAAGGGGTCGATCAGAAAAGAAAGAAAAATGGCAATGGCAAAAAAAAAAAAAAAAAAAGAGACAGTAAGAAGGGTTGCCATGGTAACAGAAACATGGCTGCTTTTCAAAAACCTTGAATGTAGGTGGTGCTGAGATGAGTGTGTTTTTGCAGATATTATGCATCTGCTGGAGCCCTCTTTGATTCACTCGCTAAGGTTGCAATGTCATCATGGCCGGAGGATGCCCCACCCCCCCAAAAAAAAGAACCCAGATGCTCTGGTTTGCCGTATTCTGTTGAAAATGAACCTTTTACTCTTGTTGCCATCTTCCTATCCTCCTTCTGGCTTACGATGAGGTTTGCTAAAGGAATGCTAAGGTCCCCCGCTGTCACCTGTCGGCGCAGGCAGTTCAGCCTCAAAGTTGAAATGTAGGCCAGATTAATTAACGTCATTAAATTAGCGCATCCTCCTCCTCCTCCTCCTCCTCCTCCTCCTTAGAAATCATTCTAGTGCACTCACTTTTCAAGCAGCCAAAAAAAGCTAATGAGTCAGTTGTGAGTGGTTGCAACCAATTAAATCAACCAATTTGGAATCTTGATAGAGCCATTTTGTAATGTACCGATTCAGCTGATGTTGTACCAAATGGCAAATTCCAAAAATATATTTATATTTTTCTTGATTGAGGTTGAATAATTGATTGTAGGGCCAAACCGGTGTGGATATGTTGACACTGATGCCGATTTTTGGCTTGTCATACAGTATGTGTTTGTGTTGCCAGTAGTTGAATGTGCATTATATTTCGTACTTTGATGTTTGGTTTATGTTGTACTATGTTTTCATTTTATTAGTATTATTATTATTATTATTATTATTATCATTATTATTATTATCATTATTATTATTATTTTCTAAACATAGTGATTTTATGTTGTGTGTAAAACAGTGATCAATACATTTTCTGATATATATATATATACACACACACACACACACACACACACACACACACGCACACACACACACACCCACACACAAGGTTATGGTGTAGATTTATGTGTCATGAGTAATGAGTCGAATGTTACTCCTGCACAACTCCTTTACATGTTAAGAGTACGTACAGGTCATAACAATCGGCAAACAGCCGCCATTTGGTCGATTGTTTTGACCGATTTTGAAGGGCCACAAATTGCCGCCCGATTAATCGGTCCGACCCTAAATTGATTGTCAATAGGGCTGTCACTAATGAATCTTTTTACAGTTACCCTATCGACGCGATGCCAGGGTCTGGTGTCACACTCTCTTGCCGGCTCAAGTGCCTCTTGCAGCCGTTAACGGCTGCCAACAGTGGACATGAGGACTTGTCAACAAAATAAATAACAAAATAAATAGAAAATGGTACTGCCCCGACTGTCACGCTCGCCTGCTCTTGATTTATTTTTGATTTCCCCACAATAATCGAGCCACGTTACACTTGCACCCCCTTAATCTCCGCGAAGCGATGCGTTGATAAGAGACACGCAAGCTACGCTAAGTCACGGGAGCTAGATAACCTTCCTCTTGCACCGAGACAAGTTCAAGTGGGCACGACGATCTAGTGGGAGATGCTTTGCTCCCGTGAAGTAGTGACTGGGATATACTGGTATGAGGCTTTAGCTTGTTCACGGCTAGTTTGCTTGAAATAGTACCAAACTGTTAGCAGCACTCCGTGAAAAGCATGAAACAAAATGAATACACGACAGCGTGTAGTCAGTCGAAGAACACCAGACGACTAGATCACCAGACTAGCTAGCGGTGGTAGGATGCTATACATTAGCTAACGAGGGGGGGGGGAAAATGGACCGTACTGATAAAACTTTATTTTTGTCCTTTCAAGAAAGGTCCGCGGACACCTTTCTTTTCTTTTTGTGATAATCCTCCATAACGACGATGACGCCATTAAGTGTGCAACAATTTGAGCGCTAAACACCGAAGTGGTCAGACATGTTTCCAGCTAGCCCAAATGCGTTTTTAACATTCTTAATGATGGTTTTGAGGCAGAAATCTGTGTCGAAAACTTTTGCGGTCGACCAAGCAGTTAGCTGATTTATTTATTCCCCCCTAGCCCTAATTGTCACCATTGTGAATTGTAAAAGCAATGCTTATAAGTAACATAAATTTTATGAATCCTCCACTGTGATATCAGTGCGAGGAACAGTAAATCATTCTCCCCGTGTTCATGGAAAATCCTCAATATTAATCCACCCGCATTAGACGACACCGTCAAAGAAAAACAAAACTGCAATTTACCATCCAGGATACCTGCTTCCAAACGGGGCTCATTTCTTCAAGTGGGAGCGTTGGAATTTACCCAAAGTGACTGCTTTCGACCAAATTGTACTTTATCTTTTTCATGTATCCTGTCATAATAGACATGTACACTACAATTTGTGTCGCTTAGTTGAAACTGGTGTCGGAAAGTAATTTTATTCATCGCCGCCTCTTTATGGTGACTTGAGAAAACCTTCTATGGCCTCCTCCTATACAAATGGGGCTATCTATTTTCTTGACCGTACATCCTCATCAAGGTCATGGGTGAGCTGGAGCCGATTCTAACTGACCTTGGGGGAGGTACAGAATACTCCCTGGACCAGTCAGTCACAGTACACATTCAGTATCGGAAAATAAAATCATTCACACGGAGTGGACGATTAAGAGTCTTGCCTGAGCTGGAGCCGATTCTAACTGACCTTGGGGGAGGGACAGAATGCTCCCTCGACCAGTCAGACATTCAGTATCGGAAAATAAAATCATTCACATGGAGTGGACGATTAAGAGTCTTGCATGAAACCAATATGCTTGTTTTTGTAATGGAAGCGCAAGACCCACACAAGCACGGTAATAACAGGCAAACCCGATGTTGTAAAAATAACATCCAAAATATTTGTTCAAGTTGATTTTTTTTTTCTTCCTGAATTGTATTTCGCTGGGTGTCAATTATACTCCGATTTTCGCTATTCACGGGCCAGCCTGATCCTTGTCCCCGTGAATAGTGAGGCATATATAGTAAGGGGTCGTCGTCATCAAATATTCAAGTGATTATACTCCGATTTTCGCTATTCACGGGCCAGCCTGATCCCTGTGCCCGTGAATAGTGAGGCATATATAGTAAAGGGTCGTCATCAAATATTCAAGTCTGAGCATATGGCCTAAGTGTCTTACATTCAAACACGGAGTAAAATTCTTGACAAGGCTTTTTGGTCTCTATGTTGTCTTTGACCGCATAGACTTCACGCAGTGAAATACATCCTGCTTTGTGTCCGTCCATCCCAGGCACAGGAGAAAGCGGCAAGAGCACTTTCATCAAGCAAATGAGGATCATCCACGGCGCCGGTTACTCCGACGAAGACAAGAGAGGCTTCATCCGACTGGTTTACCAAAACATCTTCACCTCCATGCAGGCCATGATCCGGGCCACGGAGAACCTAAAGATCCCTTACAAATATGAACAGAATCGGGTAAGAAGTGTGACACCAAATCCCGGCAACAGGAGAAAACGTCATCAGCGGCATGTGGCTCAAGTTTTAAAGAAAATATCCATTTCCTTTGATGTGGTCAATGGAGTCGCAACCAATCTCTCTCCCTGTTATCTCCCCCGGTCGATGTAGTCGAACGCCATGCTGGTGAAAGAAGTGGACATTGAAAAGATCAACGGCTTTGACCAGCCCTACATCGCAGCCATCAAATGCTTGTGGTCCGACCCGGGTATCCAGGAGGCCTATGATCGCCGCCGAGAGTACCAGCTGTCCGATTCCACGAAATAGTAGGTTGCCCCAGAGCTGGCTGGTTGTTTAGGTGTAAACGGCGGGGGAAGACATTTTGTTTGCATGTGTGTGAATGTACGGGTGATGAGGTCTTTTGTCACCTTAAAACATTAGCTCAGGAGTTTACTATTTGTACAAATGTTTTGTGTTTTTTCCTTTAAATTTCAACAGTGAAATAGCAAATACGGAGGCACACGCGACAGAACAGAAAAGTCACGAAATTCTGTCGAATCATAAACATTGAAGCACACAAACAACACCGTGGAACGACTTCGACAGAACTGCTGATTGACATTGAAAACAGAGTATCTGCATCGCCTACAGTATAATTATCTTTAATGCTGCGCAAACGTCGTCAGACTTTCCCACTTTAGTCCAACCGAGCGACAGTTTACAGTCTACCGGAATTGCTAACCGCCATTAAAGACGGAGTATCCACATAACGTCAAGGCATTTTGAACACTGCGGCGAGACTCACCCGCTTTCATCCATCTGTTAAGATGTTTACTTTACGGCCGTTTTGGTTCGTAACAGAGTTTAAGTAGGCTCAGAAACTCTCTTTCATGTCCTTAGCATACAATTTTAAAACCGCCGTTTAAAATTTTCTTTCGGAAGTACAACAATGTACGAGTCGATCTGTAGCGTTGCTAAGGGGGAATCCTGCGCTGTGTATTTTGTTCATAAGCAAGGTCGCGGCGGCAATTAGCTTCCCACGGTTCGTTGTAACGAAGGCCTTTTCACAATATTGTGGGGGGGGGGGGAATCTGGTTGTTATAATGAAGTTTACGTTATAAAGGTGTTCTTTGTCAGCAAAATCGGCAAATGGAAAATGAATTATGTGAATTTGGGACTTTGAAATGTGAACGTTATAGGGGTGGCAACGTAAACGCGATACGTTGAAAAGAAGGTCGACAATAGTTGGGGAGAGGGTAAAAAAAAGTGAATATGTGGGACATTTCTGTGTTTAAGGAAATACGGCTGCTGTTTAATATTATTTACTTTTTTTTCACTATTATCTTGTTGACGTTTTAGCTAGTTTTCTCTTACAAGAGCCACATCCAACCCTGGTCTCAGCGGTGCACTTTTTAGTGCCCCCTGGCTGTAGACGTGATGTATTACAGATTTTATATCTGCTTGCATGCAGCTCGGACGAAGCAGTGTTTCCCAACCTTTATCGAACCACGGCACATATCTGACACGATCAAAATCTCGCAGCACAGCACTTGCACAAAAATGACAGCTTGAGCTGTTCTCAATTTCCTCACTAATTTGCTCTCTCCGCTTGAAATCGTTGTACATGTGACAACAGGTGGCGACGTAGGTTATTCATTCTGTCACTGTATGTCTCTGGCAGAGAAATGACAATCTTAAAGATACATTTATAGTCAAGAAATAATTTTCCATGGAAGTGGGTCATTTCCCAGAGCACAGCCGCGATCCCTCGTTGTCTTCGAATGTTTCATCGCGCACCGGTTGGGAATCACTGGGCCCAAGAACGAGAAGATTGTGTCATGCCATTCGTGTTTGCCATATGTATATCCACATGTATATCTCCAGTTACCTTAGCGATTTAGATCGCGTGACTGCCGACGGCTACGTCCCCACCCAGCAGGACGTGCTCAGGGTCCGTGTTCCCACCACGGGCATTATAGAGTACCCCTTTGATCTGGAGAATGTCATCTTCAGGTACCCCTGACGTGATACCAGGCCTGCAGCGTAACCGCCACTCTGGCACAAATCCACTCATGGATGGAAGCTAAACATTGTCATGGCCACAATCGTGCGAGGGGGGGGGGGGGGGGTACATGGCACAAGCCTGCCCTGAAAACAGCCAGAGGGCCGAAAGTTGTTTAGCTTGACCAGACATCAGTGATTTGTGTTTAGTTGTGTTGAGGTTCTGGCCCCCAGGACCGAAACCGAAGGCTGCACGCTCGCTTGAGACGGGCAACCACCTCATATGTGATGAAGAGGGCTTGCAACCGTGTCAAAGTCAAAGAATCCTCCTGCCATCCTTGACTTGACTTGAGTTGTCCAAACCTTCTTTATCAGCTTCCAAGTGCGGACTTTCCTCTTACTTTTTGTCATTGACGCCACCATCACTGCCAGCAACAGAATTCCCAAAGTTTCTAAGATGAGAGCTGAAAGATGGTCTAAAGTGGGGTACACACATCGTTTTTTTGTTTTGTTTTGTTTTTTTTGGGGGGGTTTTTTTTTGAATGACGAGGCAAGTGTTCTAACCGTTTTTCAAGGATGTGGTCAATGTTTTGATCACCCCAGAAAGTAGTAGTCGTAGGAGAAGCTAGGCTAACGGTTAGCTCAATGCATAACAAAATTTGGCTTGCAAACTCGTCTCCTTGTCATGTTTTTGGAGTGACTGACACGTGCGACGCGTTCTACAAACGCAATCGGCCGCGAGCTTCCGTATTGGCTATGGTTCCGTTTCACGTCGCAAACGTGGAGTCAGTGGCTCAACTCAACTCGGTGTTGACCACAGGATAATCGCTAAAGAAGAGTTGTTGAAATCACTTTTAAGACACCGTACAGGAAAATGTGATCACACAGGATCTCATTAAAAAATTAAAACACAAAAGTTATTCGTAGCACCCCTCACACCACAGGACAATTGCTCAGATCCGCCTTTTTTTTTTTCAGGATAATCGCTAAAGAAGAGTTGTTGAAATCACTTCTACGACACCATACAGGAAAATGTGATCACACAGGATCTGATTCAAAAATTAAAACACAAACAAAAGTTATTCGTAGCACCCCTCACACCACAAGACAATTGCTCAGATCGCCTTTTTTTTTTTTTTTTTATAACTAAGCTGAGCACATTGCACCCTAGTCCACAGGATATAATTGCTCAGGATATTTCAAACTCATCTCAAATTCCCCACACCTCAGGATAATCTTATACACCGTACGATAATCACTTAAATAAGCTTTCTTAGACATCGGACAAACGCGCCTTTGCTGAATTTGATCCCATGGGAGGGAAAATGTTCAAATTTGGTGCAATTGTCGGGATTTGTGTACCCCGCCTTACTCGAACGCTCAAGTTTGAGGCTACCAAAGTTCATATCTTTGAAACGTATCATGGAAACAGTCTTGGTGGAGCAGTGACACTAACCCCCCGTTTTTATCTGAGTGTTGCCCTTTTTCTTTTTTTTTTTTTCTTCCATGACTGGATCTAGCCACACTTCCACACTTGGCAGCAGGTTGCTCTAATTGCCTGTCACGCTTTATGTAACTGTTTCCTGTCTTTCTTTTGTGTATGTGTGTCTGTCTGTCTGTTTTTCTTCTCTGCCCGGGCTTGCCTTGTAGCTATCTTTCCGATCTGGATCGCATTGCAGATCCCAGCTATCTTCCCACTCAGCAGGATGTGCTCAGGGTGCGCATTCCCACCACGGGCATCATAGAGTACCCCTTCGACTTGCAGAGCATCATTTTCAGGTAGAAAGATGCCTTGGCGGGCTCACGTGGTTTGATTTTCCTTTTTAATGTACCATTACCTCGTTCCCCCAATAAACCATAACTTAATATAACTCCTTCCCTCCCCTACTCTCTTATCCTCTGCTCTCTACTACTGAACAATATCCAAAATCGAACACAAAGTTCTACATTCCGGTGCCCGATCGTCGTAACTGGGTCGCCTCCTCGTCGCCTCTTTTCCTTTATGGCTGGCATAAGAAACCAGGTCGTCCTCTCCACATTGGAGGGACGCGCTATTTTTGGGCCGGTGGGTCCTGCAGGGCCTATAATGGCCCCAGGTCTCAGCGGACCGCAGTGGACTGGGCCAACACCAGAGGGCGGCCTTGCGTCGTCAACCCGAGCAGAGACGCAGCTTCTGCGGTCTACTGGCTCGCACCTGTGCATCTGTTTGCATAATTAGTCGCTCGGTTGGCGCCGCTTGACAAGGGCGCGAAATAGTTGCCAAGGATTCACGTGAATGACTTTTCAAATGAAGACTTGATGAAACTGGGACTCGAAACTCCCTAAAGATTGACAGGTGACCTCAACAAGGGGAACAGCTCTGGAAAGCTGAAACCTCTCGAGGATAAGGCGCATCAATTAATCAGTGATTCAAATCACCGAGCTGTTCTTGAATGGCTCTGCCGCAGACGAGAGATTTAAAGTACACCTGATTGTCCACATGCCCTTCAATAAAACGCGCTTCTTCAGAAGAAGTAACAAGGGATTCGGGGTTCATACACTTCTCCGGTGAAAGTAAGAACAATTGTCTGTCATAAAAACACGGCGAGTGCAATTTATTCCCCCCTACAAAAGGTACAAAATCACACTCAAATTTAGTTTGATCCAAAATACCGGTGCATTCACTTGCTTTAGTGTGACTGCCGTCACCCGAACCCTGGAACGCACCAAACAAGCTGAACAATAGCATGTTTGGCAAAAACGTCAACGCTATCACCCGGGCCTCGGTGCGCACCAAACAACCTGAAACGAGACCGCTTGATCACAGGGTTCAAACTGAACAAACTGGGTTCAGTCAAGACAAACGGTAGAGCGCTACGTTGTTCAAATGTGAAACTAGCGCTCTGCGTCGGCTAGCAAGTCGACTGAAGTGCAGTTCACTGTGATCACTGCAAGGACCAAAGATGACTAGCAAATGCGTACCGTAGTGAAATCGCAAATACTGCATATATATATAACATTAAAGGTTTTTTTTTCTTTACTAGGCCACTTTGCTTGCTATCAACATTAGTTTTCCCAGTCATGTATCATTGTTTCTGCCCTTGACCCAATTTTCCTTCTCTCTTTTCAAGAGGGTTCTCCACATGGCGTGTTTAGTCACCTTGATGGGGGAAAAAAAAAAATTGCGCTCACCTTTCTGGAAAGCGCGCGTGTCACTGTGGACGTTGACATTTTGCAAGAAGTGGGTAACGAATGGATGCCTTTCAGGAAAATCTTCACCCAAATGAGCGGCATCCATTTTAAACATTTACCGCGCCGCCTTCCAAGTGCGATGCTTTGGTGGCGGCATGCATGACTCGCTCGCTCACATGGCGCACAACTGTCTCAAGATCTCTGCTCCCTCTGCTTCGAAAGGGCTTGAATCCATCGTGTGTTCGTAAGGTTTTGTCAAGGGTGAACAAAACGCACTTTGTCTGGAAAGCGGCTTTTCCTGTGCGGCACCCGCAACACACCAGTCTGATCGGATGGATTCAAACCCTGCTGAAATCAAACAAATATCTTCTTGAAGTCGTTCCAGGATACTTCGTTCAGTCACCGATCGGTGAACATTTGAGGTGTAACGGTACGTGGTCAAAAATCACGGTTCGGTTCGCACCTTAGTTTTCAGGTCACGGATTGGGTAAAGGAGCAAAATGCAAATCAGAAAAAGGCTCATTCCATTCAAAATTTTCGGTTTTGGTGTTTCAAGCATCGTAGTTTATGTCAATGCAGGCTGTGAAGTAATCTGAACAAATTTGCTCTTAGAAAAAAAAATCTTTATACTTGATTTAAGATGCTTCATCATCATATAATTTGGGCAAATGAATTTTTCTAGAAAATATGTTTTTGGGGGCAGGTCTGGGTGAGTGATCAAATAGGTTTTGGTGTTTCAAGCATCGTAGTTTATGTCAATCCAGGCTGTGAATAATCTTAACAAATTTGCGCTTCGAAAAAAAAAATCTTTATACTTGATTTAAGATGCTTCATCATCATATAATTTGGGCAAATGAATCTTTTTAGAAAATATGTTTTTGGGACAGGTCTGGGTGAGTGATCAAATGTAGACTGAAAATAACTTGCTAAGAACAAGTGACAACTTCTTGAATGTTCATTTAAGGCTCGATTTATTCAAAAGTCCAAACCCGCACTGACACTTTTGCCCCTCTTATGAAAT